CCTCAGTCTGAGGTGCTGTATTCAGCTCAGTCTCTTAAATAGCACCTTCTCAGAGTGGATCAACCAGTTTGCTGCTGACAACCAAAACCAGCTGCTCACATGCTCAAGAAGGACCATCAGCCTAACAATGGATCATTAGCACACTGATGGCTGTTTACTGTTCACAGGAGGCTGAGTGATACTAGCAATCACAGCATTGTAAGAGGGGGACAGTTGAACCCGGAGGCCTCCACCCCTGTTTAATGATGGACGATTTCTTTTCACAAAGATGGCCTCCTTTACTCCTCTCTCAAACCATCGTTCCTCTCTGTCCAGGATGTGAACATCTTCATCCCTGAAAGAGTGACCGCTGGCCTGGAGATGAGTGTAGACCGCAGAGTCCTGGCCTGATGATGTTGATCTTCTGTGCTGGGCCATCCTTTTGGCCAGTGGCTGTTTTGTTTCCCCGATGTAAGACTGATCACCCTCCTGACACTGAACAGCATACACAACATTGCTCTGTTTGTGCCGGGGGACTGGATCTTTGGGATGAACCAGTCTTTGCTGTAATGTATTTTGGGGTTTAAAAGCCACTGGGACGTTATGTTTAGAAAATAAACGTCTCAGTTTCTCTGATACTCCCTCAACATACGGAATGACCACTGGTCTGGGTCTGGGTTCCTCCTTTTCACCTGATGGCTGACTGGAGTCCTGTTTGGGTTTCTTCTCTGCTTTCAGGAAGGCCCAGTTAGGATATCCACATTGCTCTAGAGCCTGTCTTGTGTGGGATTTCTCCTTCTGCCTGGCTCCTGAGCTAGTGGGGACGCTGTCTGCTCTGTGATACAGAGTCCTGATGACTCCTAACTTGTGCTCCAAAGGGTGATGGGAGTCAAACTGCAAATACTGGTCTGTGTGGGTGGGTTTGCGGTACACCTCGGTTTGCAAATGTCCTCTATCAGAGACTGGGGTATTCATCCAAATGTTTATCTACAATGCTTTTAATTTGAGAGTCCGCCTCATTCAGTGTAAAACTCGTAGGTGGCCGAGATGATGTAGAGGCAGGGCAGCCGACCCAGGACCCGAAAGTCCCAGGTTCAATCCCCAGTCATTGCACATCTCGTAATATTTCTGAGCAGGCCACTCTATCCCCAATTGCTCCCCGGGCGTTTTCAATAGCTGCCCACTGCTCCACCTGGGGGTGGATGGGTTAAATGCAGTGAGCCAATTTTGCCATTGTTTGGGAAAATACAATGATGACAAGACATGCACATTATTATTATCACGTCTAGACTGGACTATTGCAATGGTTTGTTATCTGGGTGTCCAAATATTTCTTTAAAAAAGTCTTCAGTTGATCCAAAATGCTGCTGCCAGAGTCTTAACTGGAGTTAGTAGGAGAGATCATATCTCTCCAGGTTTAGCTTCTCTCCATTGGCTCCCTGTCAAATCCAGAATAGAATTCAAAATCCTACTTCTAACCTACAAAGCTCTCAACAACCTAGCTCCATCTTATATTACAGCTCTTATTGTTCCATAGTTTCCTAACAGAGCACTTTGCTCTCAGACTGCAGGTTTACTTGTGGTTCCTAGAGTTTCCAAAATCAGAATGGGAGGAAGATCTTTCAGTTATCAGGCTCCTCTCTTGTGGAACCAACTTCCAGTTTCTGTCCGTGAGGCTGACACATTGTCCAGTTTGAAGACTGGGCTGAAGACTTTCCATTTGGATAAATCCTATAACTAGGGTTGGCTTGTTATGCTGCTGTAGGCTTAGAGTACTAGAGGACAAATTGACCTAATTTCCTTAAAATAATTGTTAAAAATGAATAGTTTTCATTTGATATTATTTCTAACTTAACATGTGATTCTTGACCTGCCATTGTGTATCTGTTCCTCCTTCCTGTTTCTCTCAAACCCAGCCGGTCGAAGCAGATGGCCGTTTGTCCTGAGCCTGGTTCTGCTAAAGGTTTCTTCCTCATGAGGGAGGTTTTTCTTTCCACTGTCGCCTTCATGCTTGCTCAAGATGAGAATTCTGTGATGAAGTTAATGTCAGGGTTTGGTGGACAGGAACGAACCCAGTAGTGCAGACAGGACTCAACTCGGCAGATTACAAAACCAAATACTTTAATGATGAATAACAAAGTAACAAAATAATAAGCTGACGAGGCAGCAACACTTACAAAAATTAGAAGACTCAGGAGGGATACTCAAACGGGACTCAGGAAGCTCAGGAAAACTCAGGAAACACAGGAGAACACTGAAGACCCAAACGAATACGACGCGACGAGGAACAAGACAGAACAGACAGCTTTTATACAAGGACAAAACGAGACGTGATTACAAACAGCTGTGACGAGACAAGGGTGACACCAATTAAACTGAAGAGAACACACAAGGGAAACACAGACACAAACAGAGTCCACCAAATGGTACCATCCTTACAGTTAAATTCAAAGCAGTCTGCTCCTAAGATAAATAGTGTTAAATTATTATTTTATATATGAATGTTTCTGTTCAGTGCCCTGAGACGACTCCTGTTGTGACTTGGTGCTATATAAATAAAGTGAACTGAAATTTAATGTAGCCCCCACAGCTAAACGATCTTAACTAAAACAAAAATGGCTACGACTCGGCCAGTTTGAAAGATACTGGCTTCAGGTTGTGTGTGGTAGTAGCTGATACTCATTCCCAACACACACTTTAGGGACTAACTGACTGAGCATGATCTGTATTTTAAAATAAAGTCTTAATATTTTGCAATCAACTCTGTTAACAAAATATCATATGAAACCTGAAAACAGATTTTTAAAAATATAAATCTTTAATAATGTACCTCTACAACTGAAACAACTGAGGAGTCAATCCAATTTAACACGACCAGCACAGCCTCTGACATTATCAAACACAAAGATAATCTCTATCTATAACTAATGCAGACACTGAGATAAAGTTTGGTTTGGTTGTAGCTGATCATCAGCCCCAACACTCTGAGCACTACAACATCTGCAATATTCTGACTTCAAACACTGACAGTAACTGCTGGCATCAACCACGTCTGTTTGCAAACTATCTCTTACACCACTGAATGGATTTTAGTGGGATTTTCAGATTGTAACTAGTCCCTGCACATTTACAACTCATTAACTTTTGGAGTCACCCCAGGGCAAAATCAACATTAGTCAAAAACAAAAATGGCTACAACTCAGTCAGTTTTACAGATAAAGTTAAAACTTGACATGGCAGCTGAGAGGCATTTACAACACATGCACTAAATAAGCCTGACATCTTGCAACGTTGCATGAGATTGCACGTAACGTTATTTCATTTTGACAAAGCTAAAACTCATTTCATACGATGATCCTAATCTAAAACATTGGAATAAAATATGGAGGTTAATATGCATTATTCAAGAGAGTGGTGAAGGCTGCACAGAAATCTGTTGGAGTCAGTCTCCCCACCGTCACGAACGTCTACACCTCCGGGTGCGGGGGGAGGGCCGCCTGCGTCATGAAGGACCCCACTCACCCAGCTCACACACTTTTTGCCCCACTCCCCTCAGGAAGGAGGTTAAGGAGCATTAAGTGTAGAACCACTGGACTGAGGAACAGCTTCTACCCTGAGGCTGTTAGACTCATGAATCTCTGACTAGAATGGTCACTGTGAAAAACCATATCATGTTGCTGCTGATCTGTTTCATGTTGCTGCTGATCTGTTTCAATGTTGGTGTGTTCATGCATGCACATCTGCTCGCGGACTCATGTTCATGTTTGTGCTGATGTTCAATGTTTTATGTTATGAGTGCTTAGTGTATATTTAGTTGATGTTTTTCTTAGTTCATATCTTAGATGTTATTACTGTTTTTCTTATACATTTTATTGTCGGATATAACTGGGACCCCGTGTACATAATTTCGCTCCACCACATGTACCACATGAGGTGCGAATGACAATAAAGAAACTCTGACTCTGACTCTGACTCAAGGCATAATAATAATAATAATAATAATAATATTACAACACAGTGGAGCAGTGGTTAGTAATGTCGTCACACAGCACCAAACCTTGCAGGTTGGCCTCCTGGCCTTTCTGTGTGAACTTTACATGTTCTTGGCGTGTGTGTGTGATTTGTTTAGTCCTCCACAGATCAAAACACACATGTTAGGTTTACTGGTAACTCTAAAATGATCTTTGGTGTGAGTGAGAGTGTGAATGGCTGTTTGTCTCGTTTGTCTCTCTGTGTCCCAGTAATGGACTGGAGACCTGTCCAGGGTGTCTCCCACACAGGGACTGCTGCAGCGCCATGAAACCCCGAAAGGGATTCAAATAATTTAAAGCTGCAGCCTCTGGTGAGTTCATTATCACAGCCATACGTATATGCTTTTAAATTCATAATGTCATGCCAAAAGCTTAAAAGAACACAACTTGTACTTGTTAGAAAGTTTGAGCCTCACCCAGATACTGTCACATTGTGTTTTTGGTTAATTTACCAACTTTCCAATAAAACAAGGCGACCTGCTTGCATCTGTGTTAAAACTTAACTACAGTGTAAAAAGTGGGGTGACAGGAACTGCACTTAACTCTTTACATGCAGATAACTGAACTAGTACATGAAGAGAAATTGAGCTGAGGATGTAATCAGTCCTACAGCGCCTCCTGCTGGTGACAAAGGGTCATTACACCTCAGCTGGTTTAAACTGAAGCAGATTTGTCTGATTCTTATGATTTCATGGAGGATGATGTTTTTTGATGGGATTTTTTTTAAATAAACTTTGATAAATCACTTCAGTAACATAGCTGACATTAGCTCATTGTCACAGGAGTTGAGTTTATTTTCAGCTGTAAGCAGGAAAGACAAAACATCTTGTTTTAAATTTCTTTCTGTTCGAACTTTCAGAGAAAATGTTTCTGCTGAATTAATTTTACAGGTCAGGTGGAGGGAGGTGAAACGTGAGGAGGGGACTGAAGCCAGGGAGGCTGTGCAGGGAGCGGGGAACAGGTGAGGAGGCGGGGTTATATGATGCCTACCTGCTCCTCCTCATCACCTCCTCCTCCTCCTTCTGCTTCGGAGCTGAAACAAACAGGTAACAAAGTCTGAGGCTGACTCAAGAATTCAATATGAAAGTTACGAGATTATTTTGCTTTAGTCCATCATTAAGAAGCATGTTCATTTTTAAAGTAAAGTGGCATTGCGGAAAAAAAAAATCATGTTTACAAGTCTTAATTTGAAAGGCAGATGTGGCTCTGATTTTTATTTGACAAGACTTTAAAATCATCAAAGAGGAAACAACATCTGGTATTTATGCTCTAAAAATCAAAGCCAGTGCCCAGATGGGTTTAAATCAAGTTCTCTAGGAAATATTTTTGTAATAAAATCTCCCAGAACAAGGAAACTTACAGGACTCGATCTGAGTCATGTGGGCCAGGATCTGGAAGGATTTGGACTGTGAGCTGGTGCTGCTGCGGCCCCGTTCGTTCAGGTCCTGGTCCTTGTCTGCGCCCTGAACGGCCTGATAGACCGGAGAGGCACTGTCCACCAGCTGGCCTGTACCTGGAACTGAACTGGAACCACATCCCCAAAAACCGAACCAGGTCAAGTCTACAGAGACACTCGACCATGACGAGGCTTTAAATTCAAGATTTAGATGTTCCACCACTGGATTACCACAGAGTTATGAATTAAATAAAGTTAAATAAAACACGGAGCTGGTTTTTAAACTGACATGAAAACAGAACTGAAGCACCAACATCTCACAGCTGGCGTGATATAACAACAGATACAAGAATAAAAAAGGACAACACATTTTATTTGATCAGATTTAGTTTCAAAGCAGAAGGAGTTGATCATCAGGAGGAGAAACATGCTCAGAACATCCAGTTTTTACTGCTTTAATTCATCAAACTGTCCACTTTGTTTGTTTGGAAAGAAATGTAATAAATTCTTAACAATTCAACATTGTTTTTCTTTACTAATTTGGGAATTTTTAATTAAAAAAACATCTATTTTACATTTTATACCAAAATTAGTTTTGTTTTAAATGCTTGAAATGTTTTATTTGATGTTTGCATGTTTTTTTTTTGGACTAATTTTATGTCTTATGCAGCAATTCTTGTTTCAATTTATTTATAATTTTATTTATTTATTTATTTTTGGGTGGTGTGTGTGCAACAAGAGACTATTTATTTATTTACTATTTATTTGTTTGTTTATTTGTTTATTATATGCAGGATTTTTTTTGTGTGTGTGATATTATTTTTTGGTTCTTTTGTGGTCATTAGGTTTTAGGTTTGCAAAGTTCAGCTTCACGTTTTCACAACATCATGTCCACGTGAGGAACAAACTAATGATAACAACTAAATAAATGAACAAATAAAGTACAGTATACTCAGATGATGTTTAATATTATACCATCAGCAGCTGTCAGACTCCAAGATATGTCTCCGTTTTAACAAATCACAACCTTCCATCCATCCATCCATCCATCCATCCATCCATCCATCCATCCATCCATCCATCCATCCATCCATCCATCCATCCATCCATCCATCATCTTTACCCCCTGTATGTATTTTAACAACAGAGATGATGGGCTGGCATTAGTTTTTAAGACTATTTCACATTTGTTCACATACATGTTTGTTCAGGCTCCCATTTTATCTACAGAAGTGTTTCCCAACGAAGACAGGCTGTAAATATGTTGTCAGCTGCTTTAATTTTCCTCTTTACTGGGTCAATAAAGATATCTTTTTCGTGCACAAACATCTGTCCAAGTAATTCCAGAAGGAGATAGAAAATTGATTGTTTGTGTCATTTTGTAAGCAGCACAAAATGCTTTTCCATCAGGACTTCTGCAACACAACCAAGCCCACTAACAACAAGCACCACGAAGCAAAACCCAAAGAACTGTTTTCTATTTCTGAACAAAGTGACAACAAAGCCAACCATGTGGTCGTATCTGCACATATTAAAAGTAAATAATGTTGCTCTGTGTCAAAATCTCTTCTGTATAATAAAAAAAACACAACTTCTGCAGAACAACAACTACAGGAACAATGTACAAATGGTGACAGCCATGTTGGGTTTTGATGTGGCAACTCAACTTTCGAAATGAACTTTTCTTATACGTAGATGTAGCCATCCACCAAAACGGAAGTTGGGACCTAATTTATTTTTGAAGTTATCATGCAACAACATGCACAAAAGGATGGGCAGAGGGTGTTTCCAATTTCCCACCTTTGCTCTGTGACGTGTAACAAAATTGCAGGATGAAACCAGAGGTGGCAGGACAGGATGGTGAGGAAAAGCAAAGGAAGATCTGAACATTAGATAAGTACAAACTGGAGGACCAGAGGAGGTGGAGGTGGTCCTACCTGATATCGTGCCCTTTGACCTGCGACTGGCCAGCGATGGTGTCCATGATGGCATCCTGTGAGTACATGCTGATGGGCGTGTTGTACTGAGCATGGATGATGGTGGCCTTACCGCCGGGACCTTTCACCTCTATGGGTTTATGGGTGGAGTCCTTCAGCATGCTGGGGTTGAAGCCAGTGCTAATGGTGGTGAAGGAGGAAGGAAAACAGTGAGGAAGAGGAAGGAGGAATGGTTGGTGAGACATCTTAAGGTGAGAGGAGGAGGTGATGGAGTTAAAAGGAAGAAGAAACAGGCAGGCAGGTCATGCTCACAGCAAACACATCACAGACCAGGACTGGTCAGAGTTTGTTCTCAAGCAAGAAAATAACTCCAGAATATCCAGAAACACAAAACAACTTGAACTAGGACATAACAATACTTTTCTAAAACCAAACTAAACATAACTTAATACAACCTTTGAGGCAAAAACTAAACCAAAGAATAAGATGACTGAACCACATAACAATAATAATGTCGTGTCCAGCTACAAACCCAGTTACATCTCCACAATAACAGATCTTTTAACTTTTTCTTGAGCAGCTTATATTCAGTAATTAAATTTAATATTTTCCTTAGAGGCTCCAACTGCACTGACTTATCTCCTAAACATATTTTCAGATAGATCAGATTTAAACATCATTAATATTTCATCAAATCAAGAGATGTGAAGATAAAAGGACTGATGTTGTGATCAACAGAAAAAAAATTCAAACTAATGTAGAAGAAATAGTCAATGATTACATGACTGATAATTATGCGTTAAAATTTTTACAAGTAGATGAAAGGGTAGCTTCTCTGTGCCTTCAGGTGGGGGGACAGACTTTAATTGTTGTTTGTGCCTATTATATGCCCCAAATGGCAGCTCAGAGTACTTAGCCATTTTGGAGTGAGCAGGGTTGCTGGAAGATACTCCAGCTAGGGACTATCATTCTGTCAAATATTTTGAACAATCTGAGATTAACCTGGTGCATGCTCAATAATCCAGGTAGAAAAATCTAAAACGTTAAGTCAGGTCTTCTGGACGAGTTAAAAAAAAATTGTAGAAAAAAGACTGAGCTGAATACAGTTCCTCAGACTGAAGAAGTCTTTCAGACGAAAGACAAAACCTTCTACAATTTTTTTTTGAACATGTCCAAAAGAAAATATTTAACTTTTTAAAATCTGATATTAAATTCCACATGAACTTATGGAAGCATGTTGCAGCCACAAGAGCAAAAACACAATAGAAATATATATTGTTAGAAATTTAAAAAGTTTGTTTACCATATATATTTTTCACATTGTATAAATGCTAATATACATGTTGTAGTAACCAAAAACATTTAGTTAAAACTAAAACAAATATGGTTTGCATGAGATTTTGCCTAATGTGGCAGGATTGTAATTTATTTTTGCTGAAGTGGCAGCAATATGTTTTTGTGTAAATTTAAATGTTTAAACGTCTCTTTAAAATGCAGAGGCTTGTGATGAATTTTAAAGTCAAAGTCAAAGATTTCAGCAGCCTGTAGGTTTAGTTGACCTTGTTAAACAACAGATTCCTACAAAAACTAAGACACATTCTTGCAAAGACAGAACACAAAAACAACCAGCATTTCAGCTGCTGTGTTACTTTTGTCTTTTTTCTTTCTTAAACATGTCTGCAGTAAACATTTTAATATTATTGTGTCTGTTTTAATATTACTTCTTAAAAATAAATAAAATACTTGATAGATTGGTAAAGCAAACAGCCAAAGCAATTAACTAACTGTAAGGCTTTTATTTTGAAAATGCATATACTAAATTGACTGAAGAAGTCTTTCGGATGAAAGACGAAACGTTTCCACAATTTTTTGTTTTTTTAAACCCATCCAGAGGACCAGACTTAGCTTTTTTTTTTTTTTTAGATATGAACTAAATTAACTCAGAAATAAAACTGGATCAATAAATACCTTACTGCTTCAAGCACCATCTTTATTTCACAGATTCATGATTGGATGGTAGCGTGTTGATGTTTTTGAATGACCAAAACATCACTTTCCCAGCTTCATGTCACACCAAAATATCCAAACCCATTCTATCTGAGCCATGAACAGAACCAAACCATGCCTTTAACAATCAAACAACAAAGCAAACACACAACCGAGATGCATTCAGCAGGAGAAGATACTAACTTGGGAGCAGCAGGAGAGAAACCCTTGATTGACAAACAAGAATGATGAAAAAAAACAAAAAAGAAAAATAATATATTAGAAACCACTCTGATTTTATCAAGTGAAGAGGCTGGACGGACAACATCTTCTGGGCATTGACAGAAAACCATCTGATGTTAAGATGAAAGACTCTAGTGTCCTCTCAGGTCCGTTTGAGCTGCGGAGAAGTTACATTTGTGAGTGGAGATACATTTCTTTTGTCGTGAGCCCTTGAGAATCCACAGGTGAAGACGTTGATCTGAATCTAAAGTATACCAAATTTGGAATAGGTTTAAAGTTTCTACTGTCTGCAGACTGCTGGTGAACTTCGCTTTGATTCAGTGGAACTTTAATTCACCTTTTTATTTTATTTTATTTATTTATTTATTTATTTTTATTTTTACAAACTTTGACTGCAACAGAAATGTGTTTTCTATTTCTTGTGTTATCCAAGTAGGAATCACATAGAACTCAGTATCCCTTGCCAAGATGTGGATTACCAAGGCCCCACCCTGGAGCCAGGCCTGGGGGAGGGGCTCTTCAGCGAGTGACCGGGTCTCTACCCATGGGGCTCAGCCAGGCTCAGCCCGAACGAGCATCATAGATTTGCCTTCCAGTGGGCCCACCACCTGCAGGAGGGGCCATACAAGTCGGGTGCATGATGCCATGGGCAGTGGCTGAAGGCCCTTGGTGCTCTGATCCTGGCTTACCAAAGTTGGCTTTGAAACATGGAACATAACCTCTCTGACAGTGAAGGAACCTGAGCTTGTGTGTGAGGTTGAGAGGTATTGACTAGATATAGTTGGGTTCACCTAGATGCACAGCATGGGCTCAGGAACCAATCTCCTTGAGAATAACTGGACACTTTTCCACACTGGAGTTGCCCATGATGAGAGTTGCCGAGCTGGTGTAGGTTTACCCTTAGCCCCCCAACTTGGTGTCTGTGTGTTGGAGATTTCCCGGGTAGATGAGAGGGTAGCTTCCCTGCATGTTTGGGTAGGGAGACGGGCTCTAACTGTTGCTTGTGCCTACATGTCAAACAACAGTTCAGAGTATCCAGACTTCTTTGAATCCTTGGCAGGGGTTCTGGAAGGTGAGCTAGCTGGGGACTTATTTATTCTGCTGGGAGACTTCAATGCCCACATGGGCAATGACAGTGTGACCTAGAGGGGTGTGATTGGAAGGAACAACCTCTTTGATCTGAACCTGAGTGGTGTTCTGTTGTTGGACTTTGTGCTAGTCATGGTTTGTCCATCATGAACACCTTGTTTGAACATAAGGGTGTCCATAAGTGCACTTGGCACCAGGACGTCCTAGGTCGTAGATCGATGATTGACTTTGTAGTCATGTTATATGATTTGCGGCCAATTGTTTTGGACACTCAGGTGAAAAGAGGAGCTGAGCTGTCAACTGATGACCACCTGGTAGTGAGTTGGATCATTTGGCAGGGGAAGATCCCGGACAGACCCAGTAGACCCAAATGTGTAGTGAGGGTTTGCTGGGAATTCTGGCCAAAAAATCTGTAAGAAGATCTTCAACTCACATCTCCAGAAGAGCTTTAACCACATCTCAGCTGAGGCGTGGGACATTGAGTCCAATTGGACCATGTTCTGTACCTCAGTTGTTGAGCTGTATGCTTTGAGCTGTGGACACTAGGTTGTCAGTGTTTCTCGTGGTGGCCATCTTTGAACCCAGAGGTGGACACCCCGGATTAGGAAGCTGTCAAGCTGAAGAAGGAGTTCTATCTGGCCTTGTTGGCTGGTGGGACTCCAGAGGCAGCTGAGGAGTACCGGAGGGTCAGGTGGTCCACAGCCTTGGCTGTTGCTGAGGCAAAAGATCAGTGGGAGGTTTTCGGTAAGGCCTTGAATGAAGACTCGGTCAGTTCCAAGGAGATTCTGGCAAACCACCAGATGGCTGAGGAGGGGAAAGCAGCACTTTACTAACACTGTGTTCAGTCAAGGTGGGTTGCTGTTGACCTCTACCAGTGATGTCGGCGGGAGGTGGAAGGAATATTTCTCAGACCTTCTCAATCCCACAAAGTCTTCCATGGAGGAAACTGAGTCGGTGGACTTCGGGGTTGGTTTGTCCATAACCGTGGCTGAGATCGCTGATGTAGTTAAAAAGCTCCGCAGCAGGGCTCCAGGGGTGGATGAGATTCACCCTGATTTCCTGAAGGCTCTGGATGTTGTGTGACCATCTTGGTTGACATACCTTTGCAACATCGCATGGACATTGGGGGCAGTGCCACTAGATGGTCAGACTGGAGTGGTTGCTTCGCTCTTCAAAAAGGAGGGCCAGAGGGTGTGCTCCAATGACAGGGGATTCACTTTTCTCAACCTCTCTGATAAGATCTATTTAGGGGTACTAGAAATGTGATTCCGATTGTTGGTTGAACCTCAGATTCAGGAGTAACAATACAGATTCCATCCTGGCGATGGAACACTGGACCAGCTCTTTATCCCCACTATGTTCCTCGAGGGGTCATGGGAGTTTACCCATCCAGTCTACATGTGTTTTGTGGACTTGGAGAAGGCATTCAGAGTCAGAGTCAGAGTCAGAGATTCTTTATTGTCATTCGCACCTCATGTGGTGGAGCGAAATTATGTACATAGGTCCTACCCTCACCTATGGTCATGAAATCTGGGTAGTGAGTGACCGAAAGAATGAGATTGTGGATAAAGGTGGTTGAAATGAGTTTCCTCTGCAGGGTAGCTGGACTCTCAGAGATAGGATGAGAAGTTCAGTTATCTTTCATTCATTCCACCTTTATTTAGACATTCAACCATGTTCCTCAGGGTAGACTGTGGGGGATGCTCTGCGAGTATGGAAGTGAGGGCCCGCTGCTATGGGCTGTTAGGTCCCTATACAAGTGGCACGGGAATTTGGTTTGCATTGCTGGCATAAGTCCGACCCATTCAGGATGGGAGTTGGATTCAGCCAGGGCTGCCCATTGTCACAGATTCTGCTTATAATTTTTGTGGACAGAATTTCTCAGTGCAGCCAGAGGGCAGAGGGAGTCCGGTTCGGTGGCTTCAGAATTCCATCTCTGCTATTTGTGGATGATGTTGGTGATTTTCAATTCAATTGTTGGCATCATCATTGCCATGATATTAAACTTTCACTGGAGTGGTTCACAGCCGTGAGTGAAGCAGAAACAGGGTTGAGAAACAGAATCTCCAAATCTGAGGTCATGGTCCTCAACCGGAAAAGGGTGGATTGCTCTCTTCGGGTCGAGGGTGAGGTTCTGTCTCAAGTGGAGGAGTTAAAGTATCTCAGGTTTTTTTTTTCATTCAACCTTTATTTATACAGGTTAATCGCATTGAACCTTGAGAACATATTTAAAGACCTGTTTAATTTAATTAAACGGTTTAATTCACAAGTGAGGGAAGAATGGAGCGTGAGTTTGACAGGCAGATTGGTGCAGTGTCTGCAGTATTGTGGACTCTGTGCTTGTCCATTGTGGTGGAAGAAGCTGGTTTGCCTTTTAAGGCAAAGCTCTCCGTTTACAGGTAGTCTACGTTCCTACCCTCACCTATGGTCATGAAATCTGGGTAGTGAGTGACCGAAAGAATGAGATTGTGGATAAAGGCGGTTGACATGAGTTTCCTCTGCAGGGTAGCTGGACTCTCAGAGATAGGATGAGAAGTTCAGTTATCTTTCATTCATTCAACCTTTATTTAGACAGGTAAATTCCATTGAGCCTCAAGGACTCATTTACAAGAGAGACCTGATTATCTGGGGACCTGATTATCTGGGAGAGACTTGGGATAGAACCACTGCTCCTCCACATCTAGAGGATCCAGTTGAGGTGGGTTGGGCATCTGGTAAGGACGCTTCTTGGACACCTCCCTCAGGAGTTCCTTCGGGCATGTCCGACTGGGAAGAGACCCCGGGGAAGACCCAGGACACGCTGGACAGACTATGTCTCTCGGTTGGCTTGGGAATGCCTTGGAGTCCTCCCAGAACAGCTGGAAGAGGTGGCTGTGGAAAGAGATGTCTGGGCCTCCCTGCTCAAGCTGCTGCCCCTGCAGCCTGACTTGGGAACAAGTGGAAGATGATGGCTGGATGGATGGATGGTGTTATCCAAGTAATTTTAGTGAATGTGCTTTGTATATATGTATATGCATTATTGTTGTTAAATAAATTCATTAATCAACAATATACCACCAGAAAGCAAACTGTTGTAAAGATATTTGGAGAATACAAATAAAAAAAAACAAATATTCCAATAATTTGTGTTGATTTTTGTGTTTATGTAAACAGCTTCAACCACAAAGATTTTAGTTGTTGTTTCATAAAGTTAACTATATTTAGTTTACATATATTCCTGCAATTTGTTTTTGAACAAAGATGGAATTCTATTAGTTTGGCTCTAGGTGAGGTAGAAACAATGCTGTTTAAATGTGATTGTGATCATGATTTGTCTGAGTCTTTCATGGACAATTAATTACATTCAGAGGATATCCAGTATGACACTGAATGTGTGAAAAATTAAGTAAAAACAAAGTTTCACAAAGAAAGATAGGAAGGGATTAGCATTTCTCCCGCTACAGAGCAGAGGATCCTGGAGGGATTTTAGGAGCAAGTTTAAGCTGGACACACATGTTCTCTGATTCTTTAGATGGCATGTCATCAAGAGCCATCCAACCTGTTTATTTACTCATTTCTCCTTTCCATGTGAGCTTGTGTCTATCTCCAGCAGTCTCTGTGAGAGACTGTGGACAAGGTTGCAAGTCACCAACAAACTTACCATGCATGTTTTTGTTCTGTGGAAAAAAGCCAGAGAACTCAGAGAAAACCCAAATGTGCATAGAGAGAACATGTAGACTCCACCCAGGCCAAGAGTCAATTCTGTGATCTTCTTGCCAAGAGGCAATAGTTTTTACCACTGTACTGCTGTGCTGCTGCATCAAGAACTGTCATATATTATCAGCTGACAGAATAATATGGACAAGTGATTACCTTGGGAAACCTTCACCAGTCCCTGTTCCAAAATAAGGCAAGT